TGGCAGCAGGGGCGAGCAGGGCTGTTGCCTGAAGCCGGTGCCAGCGCCAGGTCGGACTGTGGCACGTGGGAGCAAAGAACTTTCAGTAACCACCAGAGGCTCACCCGATGACAGCAACCGGGGCCCCGCCTTGATCTGGTGCCCCCACTCACCAGCTCCACCATCCCACCACAGCCGAAGCCCACCATGCCCCGTGTACGCCCCCTGGTGGTCAGCACACGTCATAGTGACCAGTTGTTTGGTTATTCTGCCTTTGGTCTATTTGCATATTAGGGATATATATATGTATATGTGTGTGTATATATATATGTATATATATATACACACACACATATATATATGTGAAGATTTTTTTATTGACTTTTAGAGCGAGAGAAACATTGATGTGAGAGCGAAACATCAATCGGATGCCTCTGGCACGCCCCCAACCGGGGATCCAGCCTGCACCCTGGGCATGTGCCCTGACCCAGAATCGAACCGGCTACCTTTCTGGTGCACCAGACGACGCCCAACCAACTGGGCCACACTGGCCAGGGCTGGTTCATTCTTGCATGTGCCCTGACCAGGGATGGAACCGGCAACCTTGGCATAGACGGACGGCGCTCTCACCACAGGGCTACCCGGCCAGGGCAGCAATGACCTTGTCCGTCTTGTTCACTCACTGCGCCCCCTTGCTCAGCTCCGGGTGGCAGTCCTTCTGAACGAGGGAGAAAGAACTGGGTCCCTCCTCCACAGCCGGGATGAGTGCTGACTCCCGTGTGACCTCACATGGGTGCCCCTACCCCAGCCCCAGCAGGGCCCAGGCTCTGCAGACCATGGTGAGTTATTTTTGTGAGTTTTCACGGAACCACGCCTTTTAACCACGGATTTAGAGAGCCCGTGAGTGGGGGAAGCCTGGGTCCAGCCCCAGATTCCCCGAAGTGAGGTGTATTTACGGAAGCCCGCTGGCTCTGGGCCCCAGGCGATAGCCCCAAGGGCACGCCAAGGTGACAGAGGCCCGGGGCCTCTGGCATCTGTGAAGGGGACCTGCCCTTTGCTCCCTCTGGCCCCTCCCAGAGGCTAATGAATAAGGCATCTGTATTCATTTGTCATCATGAGGCTCCCCGCCTGGCAGCATAGAAATAGCTCCTTAAAATGCACGCGTGGTTATGTGTTTTGGCCTGGGAATATGTTTACCATGGGAGAGGATTCAGAAAATAAAAAATTAAAAAAACACACACACACAAACAAACAAACAACACTCCCCCCAAAAAATAAAAACAAAGGTGATTAGTGAAAGTCTGTCACTCCTACCCGTTGTCCAGTTCTCCTTTCTGTCTGGTCTGAACCAATGTCTTTTGTACCTTTCCAGGCCTTTCTTTTTAATTGTTTTTCTTTCTTTCTTTTTAATATTTTATTATTTTAAAAATATATTTTTCTGTTTCCCCAAAACTTTTTAATGATCTTTGAAGAGACCATAGAAAAAGGTAAATTCTGTGCACCGGACTAGTTCTATTAGGTATATGGGCTGTGCAAAAAGCCGTCCAGTGGAAAAATGAGTAATTTATTGGAAATAAGACTGCTTTGGAAACAAAAAGTTATCCCCAGTTAAAGAGAATCAAGTTAAAAGGACTTTCTGAATTTTGTTACTAAAATGGAAACTTATTTGAACTCCAACTTTAATTTCACAAGTTCAGATGACCTCTGTGCTTCAAAATCATTTTTCTTGAGAAAAGAGGTTAAATGTGTGATGACCTCTGATACACTTTGAAATGTTTTTAACGTATGGACATTTAGACATGGAGAGCTTCTGTGATGAATTTATGAAGCTGCTGAAGCTTGTGTCTTTTTTCTTTTTAAATATGTTTGTTTTGATTTCAGAGAGGAAGCGAGAGGGAGAGAGAGATAGAGACATCAATGATGAGAGAGAATCATCGATCGGCTGCCTCCTGCAAGTCCCCTATTGGGGTTCGAGCCCACAGCCATGCCCTTGACCAGGATCGAACCTGGGACCCTTCAGTCCGCAGGCCGATGCTCTATCCACTGAGCCAGACCGGCTAGGGCTGCATACTTTATATAATATTAGCGTATATGATATGTTGTGTAATACTCAGCACGTACTGACTTGGAGCCGTTGTTCTAACCATCTCAGATGCACTGAGTCATATAATCTATAGATAGGTATGATTTCAAACAAGGGTGTTTAAAATGTAAAAATAATACAGACCCATGAAGACGTTTCATTGCCACCCCCGGGCCCTCATTTTTTTGCCCTCACAGCTCACCACGTTTATGAGTGTCTCCTGTACCCTTGCAATGTTCATGCAAACAAACATAGTAAGATAGGCGTGCGGCCCTGGCCGGTGTGGCTCAGTTGGTTTAGCCTCGTCCCCATGCACCGAGAGGTCACAGGTTCAATTCCCGGACAAGGCACATGCTCCTGTTGTGGGCTCCATCCCCAGTAGGGGGCGTGCAGGAGGCATCCAATGGATGATCCACTCTCTCATGATGTTTCTCTCTCTCTCCCTCTCCCTTCCTCTCTCTAAAATCAATAAAAGCGTGTTTTTAAGAAATAGGCATACATTTCCTTACTTTTAAATTTTCTCACACAAAAGGTTATATTCTCATACACCGTTCTGCGTTGGGTCTTTTTCACTTATGGATGTATCTGACAGAATATTTCATTATTATATCTATATATATTACATAATATGTAATATAATATATATAATATATATTATATCTATATATAGATATGTGTCTATATATAGATATATGTCTATATCTATATC